CCATCATCAACATCACTGCCATCATCAGCATCACCGCCATTATCAATATCCCACCACCATCATCAGCATCACTGCTGTCATCAGCATCACCGCCATCATCAGTATCACCACCATCATCAGCATCACTGCCATCAGCCCTACCTCACCAGGTCTGATATTAGGAGGCACAGCCGACTTGCTAGGGGCTCAGTCCTGATTCTGACAATTACAGGTCAGTCCAGTGGAGCTGTGTTCACCATGTGTGTTGCACACCCCATTCCGGAGCCCTGGGCTGTGCAACACACAACCCCAATCTGTGCTCACCCTCCCTGAGTGGCAGTGTGGGGTCATGATGCAAAGCACGGGCTGCCTAGACCCCAACTCCAGCCTACCACTACCAGCCAGAGCCTTGGGCAACTCATTTCACCTTTTGAAGCCTCAACATTCTCATCTACAGAATGGGACAATAATGATCCCCCCTCCCTGGGCTGCTGTGAGGATTATAGAAGCCCCCAGGCCTGCTTGGAGCAGTGGGTATCATTACTATAGAGACCCCCAGAGGGGGGCATGCCCTTTTTTCCTAGGAGTTCAAATAATGACATCTGACACACCAGTTTACAAAGAGCCCTCCACTGGATGGAAGGCCTTCTCAGGATCTTCATTTTCCTCAGAGGAGTTGATGGAGCTGCCTTGGGCCACTCAGCAAGGGCCTGGCAAGGCTGGAACCTGAACCAGAGTCCCTCTCTCAAGTCCTGGGCCCCGGGCCACCCAGCACTGCAGTTCACATAGCAGCCTTTGTTGGTGGTCACTGGCTTTCCTTTTCCTCCTCTGCACCAAGCACATGAAGTGGAGAAGTTGTCCTTTTAATCTGTGGCCTGATTGCAAAGAGGTTGAGAGTTCATCCTTTTGAAGGCATTAAGCTTTTGGAGCCTGGAGGGTAGGAGCCTGGGCTGGGAATGCCCTACATGACAAACAGCACCCTGCGAAAGATCCTGCCCTGTTCATGCTGAAATAGCAAAGGGATTTTTTTCCTCCCAGGGTTAACCAAGAAATTTTTGAGAACTTGCATTCCACTCATTTCCCCCAGCAGAGGAGTTCTGTGGCGACACCGACCAACCGTTTCTCCTCCATGCGTCGTAAACTGTTAGGCAGGGTGCCTTCATGTGGTTTCGGGGGCAGCTGCAGGAAAAGCTTCCCAGGGCCACGTGGTACAGGCAGGCGTGTGGCAAGTTTCCCTTCTAGCTGCTCCTGTGCAGAAGAGCAGTGGGGAGACCCGCAGAGGGGCAGCTCTGTGCTTTGGTGGGGATTGGGCCCCATGTCCTGAGGAAACATGGTGAAGGGAGAAGTGAGCCATAGCATGGCAGATTCAACACGGGGTGCCAGAGAGTACCCTGGCTTTTCAGGGCCATCCTATGAGTGTAGCTGTGGTGCCGCAGATATGATTTCCAGGGAAGACTCATTCATTCAGGAGCTTCTGGGTGACTGAAGCCTCCCTGGTTATCCTCAGCTGACCCAGTTCTTTAGCCCAATTCAGTCTCAGTCCAACCCCTGCCCTGGTTGGGACTTTTGAGGAGTTTGGGGGCAATGCTCAAAAATAGTCCTGGAGAGCCAAGAGCCAGTTTTCACATTTTAAGCTGATTATGTGTAGCCAAACAGACCAGCAACCACAAGCCCTCTGCACCATGAGGTCCTTTATGGCCACTAGATGGGACATGTCTTTGTTTAGTCTAAGAAATGCCATCGTGCCTCATGATCAGAAGTTCTGTCTGATTCAATGTTATAAATGGCTTTGGCTCATTAAAACAAGGAGTTGGCCAGGCGCAGTGGCTCACACCTGTAATCCCAGCACTTTGGGAGGTCAAGGCAGTTGGATCATGAGGTCAAGAGTTTGAGACCAGCCTGATCAACATGGTAAAACCCCATGTCTACTAAAAATACAAAAATTAGCTGGGCGTGGTGGTATGTGCCTGTAATCCCAGCTACTCAGGAGGCTGAGGCAGGAGAATTGCTTGAACCTGGGAGGTGGAGGTTGCAGTGAACTGAGGTCATGCCACTGCACTCCAGCCTGGCTACAGAGCGAGACTCCGTCTCAAAAAAACAAAAAACAAACAAACAAAAACGAGAAGTCGGGAGATTCAAGGTGATCATTACTTCCAATCTGATCTTGGCAGCCAGGATCTTCTCATGTTCCGCATCTATGTGGGAAATATAATAAAGGGTCCTTAGTGGTAGAAAGGCTGGGAACCAGTGGTGAAGATCCCCAGGACACAGTTTGAAGACCAGCAGCCTCTGCCCACTCCTGAGGCTGGGTCTCCTGGGCCAGCAGCAGGAGCGCCGCAGAAAGGAACAGTCTACACCCAGGACAGGAAGCACGGCCATCCTGCTGGGCAGGCTGGGGTGCACAGGTGTGGGGAGGGCTGTGATCTTCGTGTCCTCCATGAGACACTGGTCCTCTGTGGCTTCTGGCCCTCACCCCTCCCTGCACCGAAGGCACAGCTTCCTTCTGAGTTTCCCCACATGATTTGCAGAGAGAGGATAGAACCACACGGAACGTCTGGTTTTAAGCCTTCTGAGCAAGCAAGGCCTGTGCATCCCCCAGCCTGCAGGGGGCTGGGGGCTGGGGCTTGGGATTTGAACACTCAGACTCAGAGCAAGTCCTTGAAGGTCTAGTCTGCAGCGATGATTCCTGGGGGTCCCTGGGGCTCCTGTGGGGCTCCTGGAATTACAGCTCACACCAGCTGCTCTCAGTGGTGCTGCAGTTTCCTATGGATTCTGAACCTTGGCACCACGAGACCAGTGTGGGATTCTTCTTTCTTCCAGGCAACCGGTGACCAAAAACACTTTCAGGCAGTATCGAGTGCTAGGAAAAGGGGGCTTCGGGGAGGTGAGTGAACATTCGCATTTCGAATCAAAAGTTCTTATATTCAAGTCACCTTTCCTGTCCCTCCTGGATTGGCCTAAAGGGTCAGTGAAGGGGTTCCCCGGCGGCACCAGTGGCTCAGTGTGGGTCCCCAGGGGCAGTAAGGGTAGGGGAGAGTCAGTGACTGAGGAGCTATCAGGTGTGTCTAAGATGAAAGGAGAGTGTGGAGCTGGGCAGGTGAGACAGAGGGGCTCCCCCGCCAGCCTCGGGCAAGGTCCAGCCTGCAGGGGACAAATGGGCAGCCCTGGTCGTGTGTGGGGAGAAGCTGTGAGGGTGTGAGGAGGCTGGGCAACCTTGGCCACTCAGGGCCTGGATGACATTGTCACGCAAGATTCAGGATTTCATTGTCCATTATCCCATCTTCCCAGCACGTGAGGCAAGCCTTGTTATTCCCATTTTAGAGAGGAGGAAAGCTGAGGTCCCAAATGGTTAGGTGACCAAGCCAAGGCCACACAGACAATGTGGAACAGAACTTAGACTTGAGCCCAAATGCTCTGGTTCCCACTTAACGTGGATTATAAAGTCAGAGTTCTTGAGGGTCTCCCATCACTGCCTCCCAAACTTCTCTGCCAGCAGCCTATAGAAGTTTAGTCACCCTGAGAATGGGACAGTACTGGGCCCATCAGTTCTAAGTCTTGGTGTGAGGGGCTCATTCTACCCCTCCAGGCCTGGGAATCCTCCAAGGGGAGGAGGAGGGAGGGCAGGGTCCAGGACAGCCATGGGCCCCAGGGCAGGCATCATGGGGCCCTGGGAGCCTCACCCACGAAGCCAGGTAGGGCCGGCTCTGGCCCCATCCATTCTCCACCTGGGAGCCCTGTGGTCCCGGCCCTGGAGGAGCTCGGGGCAGGCCTCCCGGTGCTCCTGCCATCCTGGTTCCTTTCTTGTGCCGCAGGTCTGTGCCTGCCAGGTTCGGGCCACGGGTAAAATGTATGCCTGCAAGCGTCTGGAGAAGAAGAGGATCAAAAAGAGGAAAGGGGAGTCCATGGCCCTCAACGAGAAGCAGATTCTCGAGAAGGTCAACAGTCAGTTTGTGGTGAGTGAGCGTCTGGGCCCAGTGACCACTTGCCCTTCTGTGGTCCGGGGCTTCCCTCGCTCCGGAAGGGCGTGGTCCTCCAATGCAGCAGGTCCCCATCCCGGGGAAGGGCAATGCCAGTAATGGAACTGAGGCAAGACATCTCTCCATCACGAGGCCCCTTGTGGTCAACTGTGGCTGGCTTTGTCCCAACCCCAGAGCCAGCCAGTGCCTGGCTCCCCGCTGTGCATGAGACTGACGCCTCTGTTCTCCTGGACTACCATGCAAACTCCTCAGTGGACAAAACAAGTTCACCTGGGCCCAGGCTGGGAGCTGTGGGTTCCACAGACCCTCTAGGCTGGTGCCATCATGGTGGGACCTTAGTGCCAGCATCCTGGAGTGGTACCATCGAGTCTTTGTTGTTAGTCTAGGCTGGGCCCTGCTGCGATCACAAATTTGCCCCAAACCCTAAGTAGCTAAATACAGCAGAGGTTTATCTGTCACTCACCTGAAGTCCAATCAGATTGGACCACCCTCCTCCATCTAACAGCTGCTCCATCTGGAGCCTGAACATGAGTGCTAGGGGATCCACATGAAGACTTTCCACTGCTTCAGCTGGACAGATGTTCCTCAATTTCACCCATAGTCTGCCAGCCAGAACCAGTCAACACAGAGACAAGTTAGTTTCAGGGAAGGCTGGGAAATGTGAAGGGCATGGATATTTGGTCAGCTCTAATATCTTCTGCTACATGTTATAAAAAATAAGGCTGGTGCAATGGTGCATGCCTGTAGTCCCAGCTACTCAGAAGCCTGCTTGAGGCAGAAGGATTGCTTGAACCCAGGACTTCAAGGCTACAGTGAGCTGTGATCATGCCACTGCACTCCAGCCTGGGTGACACAGCAAGACCTCATTTCTAAAAATAAATATATGCATATGTTAAAAATAATAATACATGGGTCAGGCGTGGTGGCTCATGCCTATAATCCCAGCACTTTGGGAGGCGAAGGCGGGGGGATCATCTGAGGTCAGGAGTTCAAGACCAGCCTGGCCAACATGGTGAAACCACATCTCTACTAAAAATACAAACATTAGCCAGGTGTGTGATCCCAGCTACCCAGGGGCTGAAGGGGACAGAGGTTGCAGTGAGCCGAGATCGCACCACTGCATTCCAGCCTGAGTGACAAGAGCAAGACTCCATCTCAAAAGAAAATAATAATAATATATGTACAAGGTAAAAATTTAAACAGCACAGAATGATACACAATAAAATGAAAAGCTTCCCTGAGTAGTCACTCCAGAGATGTTTTATCCATGCACAGGCTTTTAGCCAATGGGATCTTCCTGTACCTCCTATGGAGGAATGTTTTTCCCTTATATTGTAGATCTCTTTCTCCATCCAGACCTATAGTCACACCCCTTTTTAAAGTTGGACATCATTCTCATGAAGAGGTAAAGCATAATCTGTGTAGTCAGTCCCCGTGGATGGCAATTGTTTTCCTCTTTAAACCATGACAGGGCCAGGTGCAGTGGCTCACACCAGCTTGGGAGATCAAGGCAGACGGATCACTTGAGGTCAGGAGTTCGAGAACAGCCTGGTCAACATGGCAAAACCCCATCTTTACTAAAAATGCAAAAGTTAGACAGGCATGGTGGTGGGTGCCTGTCATCCCAGCTACTTGGGAGGCTGAGGCCTAAGAATTGCTTGAACCTGGGAGGCGGACTTGGCAGTGAGCTATCGCAACACCACACTCCAGCCTGGGTGATGGAGTGAGACTTGGTATTTTAAAAAAAAAGTACAGACCATGCTGCAGTGTCTGTCCCCAGATATCCCTGTGGCATATTCTGCGGGTGTATCCCTAGGACCCATTCCTAGTGGAGGGACTGATGTGGCACAGGGTGAGTACTTTTTTCATTTGATAGCTGCTCCCGGATAGCTGCCCCTCAAGCTTGCCCCAGTTAAACTCCCACCTGCCATGTGAGCAAGGAGAAAGGCTACCATCCACCTAGTGCTTGGGTCATTCCTCAGAGGCAGGAGATGGGAGTTACAAAGTGGCACTCCAAGAGGAGGGAAATTTGCATCTTGGGATCTCATCCCAGGCCACCCCCAGCTGCCAGCCTTGTCCAGGGTACAGGTGTGGGTGCCATCGTGGCATATGGACATGAGGCGGATGAGGCTAACACCAGCCATCGTTTCTCCTTGATCCAGAACCTTCCTCCCCACCGCTAGCCCCTTCCGCAGGGACCCCTGGATGCTGCCTGTGGAGCCTCATCTCTGAAGGGGCAGTGCTGGCTCTGGCCGGGGATGGTGCTGCTGGGTCCTGTTTGGGGAAGAGGATCGCGTGTCTCACAAAGCTGGGTGGCACGTCTTTAAGGGCCTTTGGTTTTAGGGGCTGGACTTTTAACTATGCCCCATCCATGGCCCCTGGCAGGGAGTTCCCATGGTGATACCTCCTGGAGCCCTTTCTCAGTGATCACCAGGGCAGAGGTGGGAGGAAGGGGACAGCTGCAGCAGCTGCAGCAGAAGCACGGTCCCCCTGAGCGTGCTTATCCTCTGCTGCCATTTGTCTCCTTTCCTCAAAAATAGCTGATGTCGATGCACTGGTTTTATGGCCCTGCCCATCCCAGCCTGGCCCACAACGGCCAGGTTTCATGTGTGCCGCCTCCCTATGTGGAGAAAGATTACCTTCCAGTGTGATTTTTCTCTACTGCCCCGCCTGGTCTTGCTTCACAGAGCCTCGGGTGTCTGGACTCCACCAGAAGACGACTAGACCCCCGCCTCTTGGTGGCCCCCTTGCCAGGTGGACCAGTGTATTAGTCTATTTTCACACTGCTGCTAAAGACATACCTGAGACTGGGCAATTTACAAAAGAAAGAGGTTGGATGGACTTACAGTTCCAAATGGCTGGGGAGGCCTCACCATCATGGTGGAATGTGAAAGGCACTTCTTACATGGTGGTGGCAAGAGAAGAAAGAGAACCCAGTGAGAGGGGTTTCCCCTTGTAAAACCATCAGATCTTATGAGACGTATTCACTACCACGAGAACAGTGTGGGAGAAACGGCCCACACGATTCAATTACCTCCCACCAGGTCCCTCCCACAACACATGGGAATTCTGGGAGTACAATTCAAGGTGAGATTGGGGTGGGGGCACAGCCAAACCATATCAACCAGGCACATCCTGCATGCAAGAGAAAGCCTTTGCCAGGCCAGGCTCCAGTTCCCGGAGCCCCACTGCCCCTCCAGCCCATTCCTACTGGGCCCTGTGATCATGGCTCCCACAGCCGGAAGGGCAGCTGAGCCCTGCTTTTCTGACCATCCAACAAGGGCACCTTCCAGGCTTCTGCAGCTGATGCACACATGTGCTTCTGTGGAGGGAGCACAGACACCACCTGTTGGACTCACTGGGAGGTCAGGGTGCCAGCCTGCCCCACCCGCCTTGGCCTTCTCACCTTGAGCCACTGAATGGGAGGAGCTGGTGTGAGCCCCTTATCAGCCGAGGAGGCAGCAGGCAGGGTCACTGCGGGCATCTGGGCGCAGGGGAGCAGGGTGAGGCTGCTCTGTTCCCACCCACCCCAGCTCCCGGGATCCTGAGGAGGGAAGCAGAAGGGAGTGGCCATTGTCGTGACCTTACCATGGCCCTGTTCTCGCGTTCCCAGGTCAACCTGGCCTATGCCTACGAGACCAAGGATGCACTGTGCTTGGTTCTGACCATCATGAATGGGGGCGACCTGAAGTTCCACATCTACAACATGGGCAACCCTGGCTTCGAGGAGGAGCGGGCCTTGTTTTACGCGGCAGAGATCCTCTGCGGCTTGGAAGACCTCCACCGTGAGAACACTGTCTACCGGTGAGTGGGGCCACCGGGCTTCCAAGTCTAAGTCTGAGGGGGTGGGGCCAGCCCCTCCACACCCTCAGGCAGGTGGTCGCCGTCACTCTGGAAATCAGGCCTGGTCAGCACCAGGGGAGGGTGCAGAGTCAGACAGACTTTCCACTCCAGGAACCTGGGCCCCGGCACCCAGGAAGTGAGGTGGGCCACCCGCTGGCCAGTCTTCCCCCACCTCCAAAGCTTAGGGAAGCCAAGTGAGTGAAATGATGCTCCTGAAACTGACTGCTTCTTCAAGTCAAGGATGAGCCACAGCCACTGCTCTCTCCAGTCGCCTCCATCCCAGCACCCAGGGAAGCTGGGTGGGGGTGGGGGAGCCTAGTGGCTACTATCTGGGATCAGCCCCGGGAAGACTTGGGTTCGGTCATTGCCCACAAGGAGAATCAGAGTGACCCATGGTCCCACCCCACACTGTCCTCAGCCTGTTCTGCTCTTCATCTTTCTCCACACCCACCTCAATCCCACAGGGACCTGGACACTGTAGGGCCAGGGATCCAGAGTCCTCTCACAGTAAGCAGTGCCCTTCAGATTTTTCTCCCAGTCCTGAAAGAATTTTGAAAATCTCAGTGCCACTACATTTTAAGTAGACATCTGAAATATTCCATCATATTGAAATAGTAGCAATTTTGATATTTTGAAATTGAAACAGTTATATCACACTCTTCAAGGGATCCAGTGGAATCTCTAGTTGCTGCAACAAATGCACTTGCATTTATCCAAAAAATGCACAGAAAGTTCTCTAGTGATGAGGAATTTTCTATCATTTCCTTCACTCTCTCCATCCCCTCCAGAATGTCAATAATATATTTTTTGCCTGAAAGTCTTTCATTGATGAGCATACACCTCTGAAACAAACATATGGATACGTATACGAGTTTTTGAAATTCCCTTTGACCATAAGGCTCTATGTTTTAAAATACTTCTCTGGCTGGGCATGATGGCTCACACCTGTAATCCCAGCACTGTGGGAGGCTGAGGTGGGTAGACCACCTAAGGTCAGAAGTTCAAGACAAGCCTGGCCAACATGGTGAAACCCCGTCTCTACCAAAACTACAAAAAGTAGCCAGACGCGGTGGCATGCGCCTGTATCCCCACCTAATTGGGAGGCTGAGGCTGAAGAATCAATCACATTAACTTAGAGGTTGCAGTGAGCCAAGATTGCCACTGCACTCCAGCCTGGGCGACAGAGGGAGACTCCCTGTCAAAAATAAAATAAAATAAAATAAAATGACAACTTCTGTCGAGTTGCCATTGTAATTAGTAGTAGATCTCTTTTCTAATCAGTCCTTTGGAGCCGGGGGTTTTGACATCTGGTGTGGGGCGCTACAGTCATTCGGGAAAGGAGGAGGCTGCTTTTCTTCTGTAACTTGGCAGAAGAGTTATTGAGAAAGGGCAGGTGGGAGGGAGATCCCAAAAGGTGCGAGGACAGAGCATCATGATGTGAAGAAATCCAGACCCTTAAAACTGCGGGCAGGAGGGAGCCCCCTGGTCAGTCCTGGCAGAACCCTTACACACAGCCCAGTTTGAAGACCTTTGCAGTGGAGCTCATCTTGGGAGCCCAAGAAGGTCCTGGAAACAAGAAAGAATGGTCTGATGACATGCCCTTCCCCTCATACCATCTCCCCATTTATGTTTTTGTTTTGTTTTCATTCAAGTGAAAAGAAAGTCAGAAAAATTTCCCTGCAGGTTGAAAAAAGAATTCTCCACTTAATTGCCTTTTATTTAAAGAGAAAAGAGAAAGCCATCCAAGTTCTAGCTCTTCTTCTTCCGGGGGAGAGAGATGACAGTGCCTCCTCCCTGGCTGTGACCAATCGCCACGGCCTCTCTCTGGGCTCGGTTCTGACCAGTGCCCACTAATGAGCTGCCATGCTAGCCTGGTGGCAGCTGGCTTGTTGCGATGATGACTCCTGCCCTTATTTGGAATTGTTAACACATCAAAAGAATGCCGTTTAAGTAACAGCAACAAAAGTATTTTGTGATAAATAAGGATACACAAACACCAATTATCACTTGATGAGGCAGACTGCCTGGATTTGGGTACATTAACCACTCTGCATGAGGACAGCTGCCATCAGTTAAATAAACAAAGCGGGCTAGTTGAGAACTGGAGCCTTCATCCAGATCCTGTGTACTGTTTGCTCCACGGCTTACCTGAGTTGCACGCACTCACCTATTGGTTGTTCTTTTACCCATAGAGAAGACCTTTTCCTATAAAGCCATCTCTTCTGCTGCCTTTCCCCTCATCCTGGGAATGCAGAGGCTCCCTTTCTTGTGAGCAAGATCCTGTCATCAAGAGAAGAGACATTAGGGACAGGATGAGGCAGCCACACCTATGCTGTGCCCCGTGGCTGTGCTTTCTCCCAAACTGTAGCAAAACCAGAGGCGGGGGATGTGCCAGTCTCCAGCAGGCCCCATCTTAAAGGGGGTCTTTTTCCTATGGCTCCTCCCTCTCCCTTCGATCCTCTTCTCCCAATTGCATAGCTCCCTTCACTCGCAGGCCCTGCTCTGCCTTCAGAGCATCCTGAGACCTCCAGGGTCTTCCCAGCCCTCAAGGGGCTCTGCTACCCGGCCAGAAGTATCCTCAGCCCTGGAGTCATTGATGTGTGAACAGAGGCCACGACTGGCCTTTTCCTACTTTCCCAGTCACTCTCCAGGGTTGGGAAATGCCTGTGGAAAACAGCAGTGTTGCTTTCAATTACTGGAAGGAGAGAACTTAGCTGAAGATCATTTTGGCTCAACCCAGACAGCCTGAGCCACAAGGTGTGGGGGAAACACCCTGTGGCCACCCAGGCCTGGTTAGCCTGAGGGGTCCACCCAGATGCCAGTGCATCCTAGCTGCCCAGAATGCCCACACTCTGATGCTTATTGTTTTTCCTTTCAGAGATCTGAAACCTGAAAACATCCTGTTAGACGATTATGGTAAGTCTTCTTTTCCTACTAGGTAGCTGAGGCGAGCATCGCAACCCAGAGAAAGCAAAGAGCCTCCCAGGGACTCTTAGAGAGGGCTGGGGAGACTGACCACTCCCCCTGCTCAGTGCTGGGTACCTGGGGAAGGGGAAGGCATTGGACGTGGACAGAGCTCCTGCTTGGTGAGCAGGCAGTGTTCAGAGAGACCTTGAAATTCAGAGTTTTTGAAATTCCCTTTGACCATCAGGTTCTAAGCGTCAAAATAACTTCTGGCCGGGCGCGGTCTCTACCGCGCACTGAATAAGGAGTCCAGAACTTTAGAGACGCTGGGCAAATACTTAACTTTTACCAACTTCTCCACCTCTCATCTTGTTTGTGAAATGGAAACAAAGCATCCTGCCTTGCCCACCCAGAGGGAAGAGAGTGGTGGAGAGGCTTCTGTAGGACAGCTTGAAGGGAAATTGCTGGCCAGCCCCTCCAGCTGTAAATGTCTTAGGCATCATCTGTGTGCGTTACCATCGTTATTTTCTCTTGGCCATGGGCACTGAATCACAAGAACAGCCACAGTAGCCCTCACAGGTGTTTAGCCTCACACCTGGAAAATAGTTTCTACACCTTCCTTTTTTTTTTTTTTTTTTTTTTTGGCAGAGTCTTGCTCTGTTGCTCAGGCCGGAGTGCAACAGCATGATCTCAGCTCACTACAACGTCTGCCTCTTGGGTTCAAGTGATTCTCCTGCCTTAGCCTCCCGAGTAGCTGGAATTATAGGCATGCACCACCACACCAGGCTAATTTTTTTTTTTTTTTTTTTTTTGAGATGTAGTTTCACTCTTGTTGCCCAGGCTGGAGTCCGGTGGTGCAATCTCGGCTCACTGCAACCTCTGCCTTCCCGGTTCAAGCAAGTCTCCTGCCTCAGCCCCCTGAGTAGCTGGGATTATAGGCATATACAACCATGCCTGGCTACTTTTTGTGTTTTTAGTAGAAATGGGGTTTCACCATGTTGGCCAGGCTGATCTCAAACTCTTGACCTCAAGCAATCCGCCTAGGTCGGCCTCACAAAGTGCTGGGATTACAGGCATGAGCCAGCTTGCCTGGCCGGTTTTCTTTGATCTGACTAGATATTCCCATCTGCACAGAGAAGAGCAGGGCAGCATCTCTGTGCCCATTTTACAGATGGCAAAACTGAGCCTTAGAGGAGCCAACCTGCCAAAGTCACCCAGCAGCATCAGTGGGGAGCTGAGGGCAGAAAATGGGTCTCCTCCCAGCAGGCCCCAGACCCTGGCAGCCCCCAGTAGAGGTAGGGGAGAAAGCGGGTGGTCACTGATGACCTGAAGAGAGGTCTGCAGGGGATGCTGCCCCGTGTGGGGTGCTCGGAGGGCCCAGACCTGCCGCCCCTCTCTGGATGAGTGCAGAGCCTCCCTTGATCTCAGAACCAAGCCCACACTGCTCCTCTCCTGTCCTGACTGTCAGCCACCACCGAGCCAGGGCGTTCACACGGCTCCAGCCTGGCGGGGTCCCTGGCACTGGCCCTTGCTGACATCTAGGCTGGAGGGACGGGGGTGGAGGTGTCCAAAGGCAGGGAAGGGAAGGGGACGTGTCCCTTCCTGCGGGGTAAGTTGTGGCCCAGGTGGGCCATGGGATGGACAAAAGCGAGGTGGTGCTCAGGTCGGTGCTCCCGCCCTGGGGTCAGTCCTGGTCTGTGAGTTCAGGTTCCTCTCCAGCCAGGCCAGACGTTTTCCCTTCTCGTTTCTCCAAAGTGAAAAACAACCAACCTCCAGAGACCAACAAGGCAGGTCTGGGAGTTGCTTCCCAAATTGTTTTATAATTTTTTCCCCTTAAGCAAATTGTTGCAGAATGCCAGGAGAACCTCACATTTTTCCCATGAAGTAATCCCAGAACCAGGCCAAGATTCTCTGTGACCTCAGCCTTCCACGAAGCCCATTCAGCCTTTAAACCGGCAGGTCGGTCAACGTCCAGCCGGGCCAGGCGTCCTATTGCGTCCCTGTGTTCCCCTCCTGAAGAGTGACCATTTTCCTGTGTCCTCCCTCTCCTACACTCTCCCAAGGGTCTTGTGGTCACCCCACGATGGCAGCTTGGGGCCCCTGCTGTCATCGGACAGATGAGAATGCCGAGAACTTGTGTGCCTTGCCCAAGGGCACACAGCAAGGCCAGGCGTCCATGCGGCTGTTCCAGTGACCCACTGACCCTGCTGTCCCCCTCAGGACACATTAGGATCTCAGACCTGGGCTTGGCTGTGAAGATCCCTGAGGGAGACCTGATCCGTGGCCGGGTGGGCACCGTTGGCTACATGGGTGAGTGCCGGGGCCGCCTCTGTTCACCACACCCTGATACCCACGGAGCTGCCCCTGCCCTCCACCAGCTGAGCTCCCAGAGCCCACCCGCAGAGCCTCTCACCTCTTTTCGCACTGCTGATCACACGCAGAGTCACAGTCTCTGCGGGGCTGCTGGGGGGTGGCCTTAGCCAGGGTGAAGGGGAGCACAGGGCCTCAGATGTGAGGACTGCTCTGAGTTCTCTGTACTCCCAGCTCCCAACTCCTGCTGTGTCCAAAGCCAAGCCACTCTTAGGGGTCAGAGCCTGGCACACAGCACTGCTGGTGGGAGGTCATATTGAAGCTGGGGTCTGGGTGGAGAGACCCTTGAGAGGAAGGAGGTAATTCAGAAAAGCCCCCAAATGAGAGGCGCGCACAGCTGCTGTGTCACCAAGCATGATTCCAGTAGAGAGCAACTTGGGCTCCTGCCGCCTTGCCTCGGCCTGCTCTGAGACCAGCGTCCTGGGGGTTGCAGGGGAGAGACCCAGAGCTGAGTCCTGTGCCCTAGAATCCCCCAGCCAATTGGAGGCATGCCCTGGGCTTCCTCTTGCACATTTCACATGCCTACCCTCCTTCCCCTGAGAGGCAGGGGCCCCAGAGAGCTCCAAGGACCAGGCACGATGCCACCCTCTGGCCAGGCTGGTGCCAACAGCAGCTGTGTGGGAGGGGTACTTTGTCTCTGATGCTAGAGGGTCATTTTCAGATTGCGTGACATTTGGCAACCTGTGGGGTGTATGTCTGTGTGTGCCCACATGAGTCCTGAGGGATGATTGATAGGTGGGCGGGTGGGTGGGTGGGTGGATGGATGGATGTGATACTTGAGGGCTGCCTGGATGACAGCTCTGCCCACCTGTGTGTGCCTTTGCCTGGTCTCCTTTTGCACAGTGTTGCAGGCACCTGCCCAGGCTCTCGTATGCAAACCAGCATGTGTGTGGTTGCACTTCCCCTCAGACAGGTGTGGCCTGATGATGTAGAACTCTCTTTTTTGTATTTCTGTGGTGAATCTCTAACTCAGTTTATCGAAGTGGTAGAGAAGACACAGCAAGAGATTGTTTGAATTACAGATAAATTTAAGATCATCTTTAATTGGGGTGGATACACCTTTATTTATTGAAACAAGTATATGGATAGCGCCTGTTCTGTGCCAGGTGCTTGTTACAGTAGTGAATAAAGTAGCTCATGTTGTAGGTGAGGAGACATCAAGAGTGCAGGACACTCCCACCCACGGTGGTCAGAGTTCTAAAGCTACAATCAGAGTCCTTCGGGGCCACAGAGAAGAGCCATCAGGGCAGGCTCCCTGGAGGAGGTGGTATTCATAGCCGTTGGTGGGTAGGACTTGGTGGAGGCCAGCATCCCCGCCATGAAACTCCAGGCCTTCTGTGAGCAGCACCACCAGCTGTCTCACCCCTCCTCACTCCTCTCTCCTCTCCTCTGCCCCCAGCTCCAGAGGTCCTGAACAACCAGAGGTACGGCCTGAGCCCTGACTACTGGGGCCTGGGCTGCCTCATCTACGAGATGATCGAAGGCCAGTCACCGTTCCGCGGCCGCAAGGAGAAGGTGAAGCGGGAGGAGGTGGACCGCCGGGTCCTGGAGACCGAGGAGCTGTACTCCCACAAGTTCTCCGAGGAGGCCAAGTCTATCTGCAAGATGGTGAGCTCCTGGTGGTCAGACCACCCTCGAGCTGGCGGTGCCCCTCTCTGGGCCTGCCGCAGTCTGTCTCCGGAACAGCACACAGGCTGAAGGGGCAGCGGTCTGAGCATGCCAGGGTGTGGGCTGGTGGTGATGCCCCCAAGCTAGAGCTGAGGGCACTTCTTGCTGTGGACTAGGGCGTTCAGCAGAGGCTTCCAGGAGAAAGCCTGGGTGGGACACCCATGAACCGAGGGAAGGGGGTGGGAACAGGGTGGAACGTGCTCACATTCAGCCTGTGGGGCGTACACGCGGGTCGGAGAAGACGTCTGAACTGGCGCCCCAGACACAAAGCGACCTTGGGCCAGGCCCCTGCCCCTGCCCTTGGGCCTCCTGCTCCCTCCAACTCTGAATTCCAAGTGTTGGCTTAAGACACAGGGCTGCAGGGGCTGGGGGCGATGATTTCAGTCTTTGAACAGCTTATAACAAAGTTTTCCACCACTAGATGGACCGCTGGTCACGCCAGCCCAGCTTCTGCATGACAGGGTCTAGGGATGGTGAGGTCTGAGCCACCCGAAGGAAGGGCACGATGGGAGTGACGATTACATGAGCTGGGAGGGCAGGGCCAGATGTGGGAACCGGAAGCCAGATAAAGGAGTGACAGGAGCCACCAGAAGTATGGGATATGGGAGTGGAGTCGCCCGTGCACCCTGCCCCTGGCTCCCCCATGCTGGCCGCCAGGCCCTTCCCTGGGAACCAGGGCTAGTGGCTTTGTGGGGAGACGGCCACTCCCTGCTCCCGCCTGGCTCTCAGCCCTCAAGTCCAGCCCTTGGGGCCCTCCTTCTTACGGTGCTGAGCACAGCTGTACAGGCACCCCTGCTGCAAGCAGCTGCCCTCTAATGCCAGCCTTACAGGGACAGGAAGGGCCAGAGTGCCCAGCTCCACACCTGCGAGCCACAGGCTTCCTCTCCTCTTCCTGGAGCCCTGCGTACCCGGAGCCTCAGACGGGCAAGCCAAGCCTGGGGGGCCACTCTTCCCACCCCTCTACCTCTGCAGGGACCTTGGGGGCAGGCTCAGCGTGTGCACTGACATCCCAGGCTGGAGTTTAGGAAGGAGCAGGCCCAGAAGCTGATTAAAAGTCGCAATGCTTCTGCTCAGGAAGGCCTGAGGGTGCACTGCCAGCAGCCCCAGGAGCATCTGGCTGGGCTCCTCACCCCGGAGGCCCCTCTCCTGCAGCCAAACACCAACCTCATGCTCACATCACAGAGCTGTGGGAAGAAGGCTTGTGTGTGCACATCAGACCCACACTCAAACCCCATAGCTGCCGGCCCGCCGTGCAACTGGGGCCTCAGAGAAAGCCACACGGTCATCACAGCCAGGGCTAGGGTGTGGGGGCCGGAGGAGCAGTGCAGCACTGGTCAGGTAAATGGAAACGTGGGCGCCAGCCATACTTGGCTGTGTTATCAGGAGATCTCCATCAGGTGTGACCAAACTAGACAAGGGAAAGGGGTCAGAGCATCACCACATGTCCCAGGTCAGGGTCAGGCTTTCAGAGAAGCAGATCTTGAGACATCTCAACAGGGATATGGGACGTACTGAGAGGGTGACAAGGAGGAGAGGGCCCCAGCCCCATCCCAGGACCCCAGTCACCCACCTTGGCCCCCAGCTTTGGGGCTGGCATCTCCTGCTGCAGTCTGGACCAGGGCGCTGCTGCCTCTCTGCTGCCCCCTGGTGGACACTGAGAGAAAGCCTGCTGCTCCCGGAGGACCTGTCCGGTGGGTACAAAACCACTGGCCTCTGGCCTTGCTGCGGCTTCTCTTACAAATGATCTTGGGTCTCAGCATCTCAGTCCAGCATCTAGGCCTCCCCTGTACCCTTCAGCTGGCGGCAGCTCAGGACACTGCAGGGCCTGACTTGTCAGGAGACCTCATAGGCCCTGGACCCATTTCTAGGCTCTGGTGGCCCCAGCCCTGCCTGCCTCAGAGGGCCCCTCCACAGTAAGTGAGAAAGCTGGTCTCTGTCCCCCATTCCATCTTAGCAGCAACAGAACCAGCTCCCCTCCAATGGAGCCCAGAAATTCATGCATCTCACCTCATATCCCCTGAGCCCAGTCCATGGGCCCAGACCTCAGCCTCCATCTTCCCCAAGCTCCTGCTCAGTCCAGCACTGGGCCTTAGTCCCCCTCCAGCTCCCTCTCTTCCCCTTCAGCCATCTTGCTCTCACTTGTCCTTCCAGCCCATCCACACTCCTCCTCCAGGAAGCCCACTCTGCCTGCCCCACCCACCCCAGCTCACACCTTCTCTTCCTCTCACTTCTCCTGATCTCCACCTGATAGCATGGTTGCAAACTCTTTACTTGACGACATGGCTGCAAACTGCTGACTGCATGCCAGGGTTTCAAATGGCAGCATATAGGTGGGTGTTTTGTTCAACCTGCACACGGTTTTCAAAAGGAGTAAATGATAGGTTCATTGCCAAGATTTAGAAATGAGGAGATTTCATATAATAACCTGGATTTTCTGGCTTCTCTTGAAAAAAAGCAGAAGCTCCAGGCTGGCTGCCGTCCCACCCTGCAGGAGCTGATGCGCAGCCTGGCCTGGCCCACCCAGCCCAGCCCTCGCCTTTCCCGTCCTCGTTTGTGCCACCTTCCTGGCCAGCCGCCGCAGCCCTGTCGCAGGAGCCTTGCCTCTGAGGGACTGCTCAGAACAGTGAAGCGCCTGGGCCAGCCCAGCCCAATGCCCTGGGCCTTTGTTGGACAGGGAAGCCCCCAGAGAAGGAAGCAGAGGCATGAGCGCCAGACCCTGAGCCACCAGCCTGCCGGTCCCTGGGAGGACTAGAGGGTGACGCTGTGAGCGACTGAGCTCTCTGCTTAGTCCTTTCAAGGCTGGAACCCGGTGCTGGCCCTGATGCCACCTTCGATTCCCTTGTCTGGGGGCAGCCCTCTCCAGACCCGGAGCCTCAGGAGGCCGATCTGGCTCCACTCCCCCGGCGTCCCTAGCCTGTGAAGCATCTGCCCCACAGCAGGCCATGTATGTGGAATGAATGTGAGCAAGGGGCACTGGCAAAAGACAAGGCTGGGCCCCTCCCATGCAGGTGGCTCCCCTGGATTTTAGCCACAAAGCAGGCGCTTAGTAGACAGTCACTAGATATGGATGCAGTGCTCAGTAGGCGGGGGAGAAGAGAGAATCACGAGGCTGCGGTGCTGGGAGTGCAGGGCAGGAGCTGGGGCCCTGCGGTTGTGTGACCAGCCATGGCCAGTCTAGGCCCCGCCCCCCCCCCCGGGTCTAGCCCTCTGGGCTCATCCACAGCCTCATCCTGTCTCACCCGGCTGCTTCCGCAGCCTCCCTCTCCTGGTAACCTGCCTGCCTGTTGGTTCTGATGAAGACACTCCCCTACCCTAGCCATCTCTGGCTCCTTCTACCTCCAGATGAAAATCCCACCACCTGACCTGGCCTTCAGGATCCTCCATCATCTCTCCCTGACCAGCCCCGTCCACCTGACGGAACTCCACACTCTCCTCCTGCTCTCTAAGTCACTTGTTTTTGGTATTCCCCAGACACACCCTGCACACCCTGCCACGCCGCTTTGCTGGTGCAGTTCCCTCTACCTGTATGCCCCTCCCACACCCACGCCTTGAAAGCCTATTTGTCCTGCAAGACTCAACTCAAATACCCCTTCCCCATGCAGCTCCCTGACCCCCAGCTGGCAGCCAGCCATGGCCCCTGGCCCTGGGGTGCTCGATCTGTATCAGCTTGACGCGTCCTCTGAGCACCATCCACCTCCCATGAGTCTCAGCGCTCCTAGAGGCTAAGTCCCTTGGCGGTATCCTCTCTCTATCAGGAATGGGCTTTCCCCCGGGAGGTACAAGTCTTCAAGTTAGCTGAGTATGTGAGCGATAGAGAGCTATCGATGCAGTCCTTGCCTTTTGTTGCTTATCCTATGCAGAAGAGGTGACATTGACTTGACACCCGTAAAGGGGTGCCCACCATAACCCAGGAATTAGGTCTATAGTCCTGGGAGAAACAGATCCAATTCCTGCTCTCCTGGCCCATGCAGGCATCTAGCCATGCCGGGAACGTGTGGCCACAGATGCACGCCCAGGCTGAGGTAGCCCCGAAACAAGACCTTTGTGGGGAGGGGCAGTGTCCTGGGTTCCTGCTCATGGCGCAGATACATGGAGGCAGGATGTCGGGGCGGGAGGAAAGGCCCCGAGCACGTGGCTTCATAGGGCTCTCTCTGTTGCAGCTGCTCACGAAAGATGCGAAGCAGAGGCTGGGCTGCCAGGAGGAGGGGGCTGCAGAGGTCAAGAGACACCCCTTCTTCAGGAACATGAACTTCAAGCGCTTAGAAGCCGGGATGTTGGACCCTCCCTTCATTCCAGATGTGAGTAGCGCCCCCCAGCCCCTAGTGGCTCCCCTCGCAGTGCACCCAGGGCTGTGCCCCATCACCGCCTCACAGCGAGCTGGAGCAGTGTGGGGCACATTGTGTCTTTGTGGGGACCAAAGATTCCCCTCTTGGCCACTCCTCACCCAAGCTGCAGATGAACTTCACGCCAGGCAGTGCAGAAGAGGCGTGGGCCGTGGAGCCCACACTGGCTGTCCAGAGACTTGGGCCTGGGGGACCTGGACAGATTCCTTCTAAGCTTCAGTTTTCTCCCTGTCCAGTGAAATCAGTAATACCCACGCCTCCCACCTTCCTGGGAGATTTGCGGGTGAAATGAGGGTTGAATGGAGAATGCTTTGTCATTGAGGGCTACCATGTTCAGCTCAGCTTGACCAGTGTGCATGCATTGGGCACCTACTGTTGACGCCAGGTTCTGGGCCAGGCAGGAACCAAAAGGCCCTGCCCCCAGCAGCTCAAACTGCAGGGAGTCACATCTTCCCAGGAGGTCCCCAGGTCCCCCAGTCGGTGTGTGAGGCTAGAATCCAGCCGAGGTAGAGCCGCCCTTGAAAGCCCCTACATGGTCTATAAGTCATGGGCTCTCAGGGGTCAGAGGCCCAAGAGAGCCAGGCCCAGCAGAGGCTGGGTGATCTGTGCGGAATCCATGCTGGGCTTCGGGGGCCTGCTCTGTGTAAAGTCAGAGAATCGGAGCCAGGAAGGCCTGCTGTGCCCCGGCTCCTTCCACACTCCCATAGACAACCGCTGGCCGGGGTGGGGCTGGGCTGGGGACTGTGGAGGACATGGGAGCAGCAGTGTGCTGAAGCTGAATCGCTCCATCTCCGGAGAGTGCATTTACACATCTCTTCCCAATTCCGCGTCCAGTGGCTTCGCGTCAGTAGCTTACAGTAGACCCCGGTGGGGGCTTCTGAACCACAGCAATCTGCAAATGCCGCAAATCAGGGCGACCCCATCCCCCTCCTCCAGAACCAGTGGTTATGACTTACCAATACAGTGGGAGTGGGTGGGGACAGTCCTTGGAACTCTGGCAGCCCCTGTAGGTGAGGATCCCGTGGTCCTCTGGGGCAGCAGCTGGCTTGGGAAGCTGCTGGGTGCGGATCAGTGTCCATGGCAACCACACCACAGACACCATCCGGCAAAGGATGGCATCAGTGTGATGGGTGATCAGGAAGTGTTTTCTGGGGAAGCGCGGGGGCCATTGCGAATATAAAGAGTAGGTCGGGCACAGTGGCTCATGCCTGTAATCCCAGCACTTGGGGAGGCTGAAGAGGGTGGATCACCTGAGATTAGGAGTTCAAGACCAGCCTGACCAACATGGTGAAACCCTGTCTCTATTAAAATACAAAAACTAACCAGTCCTGGTGGTGGGTACCTATAATCCCAGCTACCCGGGAGGCTAAGACAGGAGAATCGCTTGAACCCAGGAGGCCAAGGTTGCAGTGAGCTGAGATTTCGCCCCTGCACTCCAGCCTGGGCAACAGAGTGAGACTCCTATCTCCAAAAAAAAAAAAAAGTCACTGAATGCTACAGACTCGATCTACGGATCACTTTGAGCAGGCAGGGGGAGAATGCTAATCACAGCATCGCTGTCAGCCCCGGCTGCCTGGGGAACCACCTGGGCAGCAAGAACAACTCTTTCCTTGGATCCAGTCCCCAGGAGTCGAGGATAAGACTTGGGCTTCAGGATGTTTGAAACCTCCCCAGGTGATTCTGGTGTGCAGCCAGGGGTGAGAGTCACTGTTATGGGAAGTGCCACGTGCAGGGAGTGTGTTGTTTATTTGTTGTTTGCTTGTAGTGTCAAGGGCTTTGGGAGTGGCCACTACTTGGTATCCCAGGAAACCGCATAGAGTGAGCAGATGGGCCATTGCGCTGAGGTCCAAAACTGGAGAGGACATGGCCACCCATATGGGGGTGTGGCAAAGGTTTGGAACCCAGGTGGCCATCCTTGTGGCGTCTGGGCTGCCTGTTGCTATGGTGACAGCTGAGATTAGCCACGACAGTGAAACTATGCCTCTACCTTCCAGCACACTCCAGGCCCCTCAAGGCCCCCCAAGTCCCAGGGAGACCCGTGGTGCACAAAACAGTTGGTTGTTTCCTTCATGGGACTTCCAATCTGAAGAGGAGGAGGGGTGTCAGCAAAACCCCTTAAATAGAAGTAGAAATACGAGTCACAGGAGAAGAGAACTGGCAGCCGTGGGGAAGATGGAAGGGAGCGGGGCCTCCACGCGGAGCTGCCTGGGCATAGCTGGAGAGAAGCGCCCAGAAGCAGCGTGTGGAAGGAGGTGGCTCTGAGGGTCGGGCCAGCCAACCGTCCTGCTTTGCCTGGGACTGTCCTGCTTTTAGCACTGAAAGTCCTGTGTCCTGGGGAAACAGGGACAGTTGGTCACCCTGGCAGTGACTCTGGCCATCTTGAATCAGGGCATTAAGAGGATGAGGTAACAGAGCCCCCCCAAAGTGCACAGCTTGGCATAATGCTCAGGGCAGCCCACCAGAGCCCCTGCCCCCCCATGCTGTGAACCCTGTGGCCTAGGGCCTCTGTTCCTGGCATTTGAGGCCTCAGGTGAGCAAAGGTTGCAGGCCCTAGAGTGCGCAGCCGCTGTGGGCTGGAGACTTTGCCTTTTCCTCGCTGGCCCTCCCCAGGCTGCATGCCAGCCCCTCACTGTTGTCCCCACCAGCCCCCACCGTTGTCTGTCCCCACATCACTGTCGGGGCTGCTGCGGGGTTCCTAAACCGCAAGCAGCGTTAGCACCATCATCTTTTTCACGTCCATTGACTCTTTTTAAAATAAAAATCAATGTATTTTAAAAGGAAACCTTTCCAAGGAAATAATAGCCATGAAAGTGGGGTTTGGGTGTGCCAGGTAACTTTCTGTTCCATTACAGATTTTTTAAAATACACACTTTTTTTTATTTTTTATTTTTTGAGATGGAGTCTCACTCTGTGGCCCAGACTAAAGTCCAGTGGCGTGATGTCGGCTCACTGCAGCCTCTGCTTCCCAGGTTCAAGCGATTCTCTTGCTTCAGCCTCGCAAGTAGCTGGGACTACAGGCACCCGCCACCACACCTGGCTAGTATTTTTAGTAGAGACAGGATTTCACCATATGGGCCAGGCTGGTCTCAAACTCCTGACCTGGTGATCTGCCCACCTCGGCCTCCCAAAGTGCTGGGATTACAGCCACCGCGCCCAGCCAAAATACACTCATTTCTTAATGTTCCTTTGCAAGCCACCCAGGGCCAGCTTCATGAGCCTCACCTGGGCACCCTGGGCCCCACACCTGGCTCAGTGCCATCTGTTGCCATCTTAAAATTCTAAATGTCGAACACGGGGCCGGCATTTTTATCCAGCACTGGCATGTGAATGATGTGGTCTTGCTTCCAGCTAAAAGTCCGCTGAGTTCCACAGTGGCATGCACCCCACTGGGGACTAGAGGAGTCGCACTCTTCAGTTGGACATTCCTGCCCCCATCCCTGCTTCCGCCCATGTGCACTTGGGCTCATGGTTTGCTCTCCTGGGGATGGCATGGCCTCGAGCCTTGAACTGGACACCAGAGCAGACCGGACAGGAGAGTTCCAGAAAGTGGCGAGCCCTGAGACCATTGCTAGAAACTTCCTGGCATGGCAGAGCCCACACTGAGCTGGTGCACTGATTCACAACCTTCAATCAGCCAAATGTCAGGAGACTGTGGGCAGGAGGTGGCCTCTACCCTCCAGGGACAGATACGTCACCAGGTCTGTAGATCCCTGGCACACCACCTGGAGCCGTCTCTATAAAGATCTCATCTCCAGAGCCCCTGGGAAGCTTCCCCACACCAACCTTGAACTCTTAGAGGGGGGTCCACCCTGGTTCATCTATACTCTGGTCCAGAGCAGGCCCCCAGTGCCCAGTTGAGGGGCGAGTGAGGTGAAAGATATACCCACCATCATAATGCCAGCTCCCAGTTACGGGCGCCAGGCTTGGCAGCCAGCACTGACAGCAGTCCTGTGGCCCAGGCGCCTCTGTTATCCCCATTTTGCAGGTAAGGAACCAGGACACAGGCCTCAGGGGATATGAGACTTCCCCAAAATTCCTAAGCCCCACTGCTGGGACTCCAGCCCACGTCTGTCCAGCTGCAGAGCCTGGGTGCTAAAGCCCGAGCCCTGGCTGCTCCTGTTGTGAGGAGGGCAGGAGGTGTTCCTGAGAGAGCCGTGCTGCGCATGCCACGGGGGTTCTCCCTCTGTTGCGGGTCTCCCAGGAGCCAGAGACCCTCAGGTGCCCTTGCTTTGGCCCTGGATCCCCAGCACTCATTCTAGGGAAGACCGGAGCAGCTGTGGTCAGTGCAGCCCCTCCTCCAACAGACACACCTCCCTGAGTCTGGGGGCTTTAGGGGAACAAGCATATCTGCATGGGAGTAGGGCTGCCTGGAGATGCTGAGCTTAGAGACAGAGGCTCCCTGCTGCCCGCCTCGGGGCCAGCCTGGAGGGAGACCCTGGGATGCCCCATGGGAGGGGTAAGGAATCAATGGCAGGAAGGAGCCCTGGACTGGGCACCCAGGCACCCCGAGCTCTTGTTCACCCCAGCGAGAGCCCCCTTCATGGATCTGAGAGAGGGCAGCACTGTCATCCGGAGGCCGTCATCTGAGGTGGACAGAAAGCCCAGCCAAGCCACTGGGGCCGACCCCTGCCCTGGACTCACCTGTCCCTGAACTACGCGCCCTCCAGCACCACCCTCAGCAGTTCTAGGGGGTGGGTCCTGGGAAGACACCCCTCTGCTCCCCCGTCAAAACCCCAAGGCCTAGCTCTGGGCCCCCTGGAGCTGTGGGCAGGACACATGTGTAACCAGCCCTGTGCCCCTGGCAGCCCCGCGCCGTGTACTGTAAGGACGTGCTGGACATTGAACAGTTCTCCACTGTGAAGGGCGTCAACCTGGACCACACGGACGACGACTTCTACTCCAAGTTCTCCACGGGCTCTGTGTCCATCCCGTGGCAAAATGAGGTGCGCAGGGCGGGCCACTTGCTTTGCCCTGGGCAGGATGGGGGAAGGAGGTGTTGGGGATGTGAGTTTGGTGGCAGGAGGATAAGCGCATGGTCTGTCTTCTCCCTGAAGGCAGCCCATGAGACTGTCAGTGGCAGGCAGGGCGCTGTAACCACCGTGGGCGAGTCACTGAGGGGAGTCTTGCCTAGCCACTGAGACCCGGGGGGCGTGTGGCTCAGGGCAGGTGAGGCCAGGGGAGGGCCAGCCCCAGTGGCTCTGCTGCTGGGCTTCCTGTCCACCCCCGAAGACAGCCAGTGTTTTTTTTTTGGCGACCCCTCCAGATGATCGAAACAGAATGCTTTAAGGAGCTGAACATATTTGGACCTAACGGTACCCTCTCACCAGACCTGAACAGAAGTCACCCTCCGGAACCCCCAAAGAAAGGGCTGCTCCAGAGAATCTTCAAGCGTCAGGTGAGACACCCATGCCTGGCCAGTCTTGGCCTCAGCCCTGAGACCCCTGGCTCACTTCCATAGGAAAACAGGAAGACCTGCAGTGGAGACACGCAGGGGGCTCGGGGATCTGTAGCAGCCTGGAAGGGCGACCGATACCTCCAAGCCCCCTGACACCCACTGCAGCTGATGGGATCCCCGGGCAGAAGGGCAGGGCTGCCCCCAATTCCCCCTCCCTCTGGGTTTCTCCACCTGGACACTCTTGGCACCCAGGGTCAGGGAATTCCTTGTCATGGGGACTGTCCTGTGCATCACAAAATATGGGGCAGAAGTGTGCCCCTACCCACCAGAGGCAGCAGCACACCAGTCGTGACAGATCATAAAGGCGCCTGACATTGCTGAATGTCCCTTGGGAGAACAGTCACCCTAGTTGGGAACCACTGCCCTCCATGGCCCTTACAAAGCCTCCGTCATGGAAAGATTGAACACCATAAGCCCAGGGAGAACTGGGGATAGAAGCTGACCCCGAAGAAACTTCCAGCTCCTGGGGTGGCCCCCATCCAATGCTGTGCCCTCCACTGGCAGCCAGAGAGGACTGGGCCCTTGAAAAAAGACAGTCAGAGCCTGGCCCTGGGGTAAGGGTTGGTGGGGGCCAGTGGAGGAAATGCCGGGGAAGGGCCCCACCTCACCCCACAACCACGAAGATGGCCACCAGACATCCTGTGTTGGCCTGGCCCTTCAGGAAGCTGTGGCCCAGCCTTCCCATCCTGGAACCTGAGGGGCTTCTCCACCTAGTTCTGCTCCATCCTCCTGCCCAAAAGAGCCAGCTCCAGGATGGGCACACTGGGCCGATGATAATATAAAAACACCATGCTTTGGCGCTTCCATCAGGTAAAATGGAAGTTCCAGAAAGAATGAGCTCTCCCTCCCACTCATGGCCAGGCCCACTAAGAACACCCTGACCTAGAAAGAGAACTTAACCAGGGAGTCTCACAGACCCAAGTTCAAAGCCAGCCCTGATACTTCTTGGTTATATGGCAACTCATGGAACCCCTCCCACCTCAGTTTGCCTGCCTGAAACATCAGGATAGAAATGCCCGCTGCCTAGAGCCATGAAGAGGACAGGGCGAGCTGGAGGGGGGCGGCCCTTAGCACTGCGCGGGCACTGGCCCTGGCGAAGCAAACACTCCTTGCCTCCCTCCTCCTCCCCCCTGCAACATGAAGGGCCCGGCACCCGCAGGAGTGTGGAGAGAGGGCCTGAGCATGGGAACGACCGCCCATCTTTCCCAGCCCGGCACGCGCTAGAGCCCTTTGAACACGAGGCCCCGTTTTATCCTCCCGGCCACCCTGCGCAGAAGCTGCTCTTCTCCCACGTTACAGGAGAGGAAACTGGGAGATGGAACTGCATGGCCAAGGTTATTCTGCAAGGGATGGGCAGGCAGAATTCCAGCCTGGGCAATGTAACCCTGGGCCTGCGGGTTTCACCGATGTGGATATTACAGGAGGGGCTGCCTCTGCTCTGATTGGAAGTTCTGCTAATTCCATGACTCTCCCCAAGGACCAGATAAAGCCCTGTGCCCCCAGGGGTGGCCCTTGCACCTGGGTCAGAGGGCGTAAGTAAGACTGCAAAAGGCAATAAAAAGCAAGGGTTGGAGCTGGCGGAGGCAGCCCCTGACCCATCTCCAGGGCCCCCTGGACTGACTTCTCTTCTCTCCACCCTTGTCTCCCCCAACCCCAGCATCAGAACAATTCCAAGAGTTCACCCAGCTCCAAGACCAATTTTAACCACCACATAAATTCAAACCACATCAGCTCGAACTCCACCGGGAGCAGCTAGTTTCCGCTCTGGCCCTGAAGTCCGCAGTGGAACCAGCCCAGACCCCTCTACTTAGAAGCGGAGCGAGTGGAGCTTCTGCTCTGGTGGGGGTGCCAGGGAGCCCCCAGGAACCGGGGAAGGAGGCCGTCCATCCCGTCGACGTAGAACCTTGAGGTTTCTCAAAGAAATTTCCACTCAGGTCTGTTTTCCGAGGCGGCCCCGGCCGGGGTGGATTGGATTTGTCTTTGGTAAACATTGCAATAGAAATCCAATTGGATACGGCAACTTGCACGTATTTTAATAGCGTCCTAATTAGAACTGAATTTTGTCTTTATTATTTTTAAAGAAAAGTTTTGTAAATTTCTCTACTGTCTCCGTTTACATTTTGTATATTTGTATTTAAATGAAAGTCAGACTTTGAGGGTGTATATTTTCTGTGCAGCCACTGTTAAGCCATGTGTTTCAAGACGTTTTAGCAGGGAGGGGTTTACCAAAAAAAAAAAAAAAAAAAAAAAAGAAAAGGGTTAAAAAAAAAAAAAAAAAAAAAAAAAAACAAAAATGTGACTCAAGACTTCCAGAGCCTCAAATGAGAAAATGTCTTTATTAAATGTAGAAAGTGATTCACACCTCACCTTTAAAGGGTTGGTTGTATTTACCCACCTCTATCTCTGGAGCTGTCTCCTCACATGGCGTTACCCTTCTGTTGGCTTCGAACAATCTGAATTAAATGTTCCAGACACACGTGGGACTTCTCCTTCCCAGCCAGAATGTCCTCTCCTGGGGCCCCTGGAGTCGCCTGGGCTGGGCCCTTCTCCTCCAGGGGCACGCTGAGCCACTGTCGCACCCACCTCTGTCTGCTCAACCTTCCGGAAGGTGGCTGGCGCGCGGATCTAAATGTTTGCAGCCCGGTGGGTGATGGGACTCTTTCCTTTTAAGCAGGTCCTGACTGCCAAAGCCACTCGTTTTCAAGAGGCTTGCATTGGGGATTTTGTTCTATTTTTAACGGAAGCATAGGATCATAAAGATTTGCCATGAAACCAGAGTGTTCTAAAGCCTCAGGGCCCACGGGAGCATTGGGAAGTGAGAGCCAGCGCGTCCATCCTGAAGGACCACCACCGTGTCTGTAGCTGGGAGGGGAGGCTGGCCCAGGTCCCAGGATGTTCCCTAAGTGTTCACAGGGTTTCAAGACCTTCACAGCCCCGCCAATGTGCTGGCCCATGTGACATGGATGGGCAGTCTCTCTGGGCAGACGAGAGGCCCTAGGAGAGACTGGGCCACCAAAGAGCTCAAGGCAAAGTCACTGTTCCTTCCCCAGGAAGGTGGGGCAGAGGCAGTATCTATTGGACATTTCAAAGCATCAGGCAGGAGCTACCAGAGGACTTGGTGACTTTGCCAGACCAGGGGCCTCTGAAGGCAGCCCTCAGACCCGTGTGGCAGGGCTGCCCCTCCCCAGGGAGCAGCTGGCCACCTCCTACTGTCTCCATGAAGTGACCAGGGGCCAGTCTGCTCCCACCACCCTGCAGCTGTCAGGGTCTCCCACCATGTGGACACCGCCCTGCCTGCGCTGGCACCTCCTGTCAAAATGCAGTTCCCAGGTTCCACCCCAAACCACAGAATGGGAATCTGCAAGCGGTGCCTAGGAATCTGCATCTTTTAAAAGCTCACCAGATCACTCTGATGACCCTGGAGTGTGAGCACCCCTGCTGTGGGCCATCAGCAGGGCTTCGGGGGTGATCGTCCCAAACACATTTCTCTGTGAGACACAGGCAGCATTGGCGCAGGAGACGTGGGGAGGACAGTCGTGAGCACACCAGCCGCCATGCCCGGTTTCCATGCCCTCCCTGCGGACTCTGTCCTTGGGTCCTGGGGCATGCCACTAAAAGGGGCCTGGCCTTTGGGACTGATCATTTTGAGGTCCTTTTACAAAGAAATGGGGAGAAGAAATAGCTGGGCTTCCCTCAGATCTTTTTAATGTGCAGTATTTTTCATTTAAGACCAGCTCTTGTCATATGAGGCTCCTTCCATTACCTTTCTTGGGCTGAATACAAAACAAATGCAGCCATATTCAAGTTTTGCAAGGAAGAGGAAACTCTGAATGGCATTTTAAGATCCTCAAGCTTTGCTGAACTTCCTTTCTTAGTGAAAAGGACGGTTACTAGCCCAAGCCACCACCCCAGCCACCCATCCGGGAGGTTGGCTCCTTTTGCCCAGTTCATAGCAGCTCAGTCCCTACCAAGTGGATTCTTGGTGCTGGGAAGTGACCTCTCTTTATTCCTGAAGGCCAGTGCCCTGTCCGTTTGCCATAGAGAATCCCCAAGGAGCAAGAAAGATGACAGGAGCGTGGCTGCCGTGTTTCCAGGTCATGAGCGCTCCGGTGGTACCGTCACAGCACCTGCGCATGGACTCCATGATAACTTGAGTCTTCCATCACGTTTGCCACCGGCCCTCCCTGAGTGCCCAGCGGAGTTGGGGGCAGAGTCACTTGGCCTTCTAAAGCCTCCTGTTCCTTCTGGCTCATGCATTGCTTTGTGGCAAGAGAAAGGAAGTCTTCAGAACAGTGCCTGGGAATCAGCCCTTCTCCCTACCAAGTCCCCAAATCCTGTCCCTTCCCCGCCTCGCTCCTCCTCCAACCTTGGTTTCTATAGCCACATTTTTTTTTTTTAGACAAGATCTCATTGTGTTGCCCAGGATGAAGTGCAGTGATCCTAGCTCACTGAAGCCTTGAACTCCTGGGCCCAAGCTGTCCTCCTGCCTCAGCTTCCCAAGTAGCTGGGACCATAGGCATGCACAACCATACTCAGTTAATTTTTAAAATTTTTTATAGAGACGGAGGTCTCGGTATATTGTCCGGGCTGGCTCGAACTCCTGGGCCCAAGCTATCCTCCTGCCTCAGCCTCCCAAAGTGCTGAGATTACAGGCATGAGCCACTGTCCCTGGCCTATAGCGGTCATTTTTTTTTTTTTTTTTTTTTTTTGAGGCAGTTTCACTCTTGTTGCCCAGGCTGGAGTACAATGGCGTGATCTCAGCTCACCACAACCTCCACCTCCCAGGTTCAAGCGATTCTCATGCTTCAGGCTCCAGAGTAGTTGGGATTACAGGCATGGCCACTATGCCCTGCTAATTTTGTATTTTGAGTAGAGACGGTGTTTCTCCATGTTGGTCAGGCTGGTCTCAAACTCTCAACCTCAAGTGATCCACTCGCCTCGGCCTCCCAAAGTTCTGGGATTACAGGCATGAGCCACCACACCTGGCCAGCAGTCATTTTTTAAAAGATATTTTAAAATTAAAAACAAACAATACTTTCCGCTCATCTGCCTGTCCAGGATAAGGCATATTGGGACAGTGAATAGATTTAACTCTCTTTAATGCATTTGAGCTCATCACACGAGAGGCTTTCTGGCTCTAGGCATGACATTTTTTTCACCATCCATTCACTGACTTCTTGCCTTTGAGGTGAGACGTGGGGTCTCTTAGAAGCGTCTCTGCTTCCACATTTCAAGAGATAAGCTAGTGGACAGAGGCGGTCTCTGCCATGGTCACCGTGATGACCTGCAAGTGTTTACTGATTCCCTCGGGGGCCCCCAGAATAGCACCCAGAATAGCAAGAAGACCCAATCCCTGCCTTGCGGAGGATGGACTCACCCCCACAGCAACTCATTCTCGCCTCTTCCTTGGCCGGAAACCCCAGACTCTAGGGCTGCTCACTCTTGCTGTGTCCTGCGCTGCCACAGGAGGCTTTCTGAAAGGCATTGCCCAGAGGGGCGGGGGCAGGGAGGCCTAGCCTGCTCCACAGACACAGCTGAGCAGCCTGGGTCATACACACTCCAGCAGGCAGCTGCCGAGACAAATGGTGGTGGGAAGTCCTGGGGACACACATAGCCTTTGATTGACAGCACAAGAAGGATGGGGCTGCCTGCCTCAGAGCCCAGGTGAGCCCCTGGGGATACTGAGTACTCCCCTTCCTCAAGCCGGGACGTCTCCATGACTCCCCCAGGAGCCTGGCCCCACTGTAGAAATCCCTCACTTTCCTCCACACCCTATCCTTTCCCCAAAGGCTGGGGTCATCGGTTCCAGCTACCCATCGACTTTCCCACCGAGCCACTGCCCTCAAAACAGAGAGGGCACCACGGCCTCCTTGAGTCTGGCATCCCAGCTCTTGCCAAAGGGGACAACAGCTTCCTGGATAATTGGAAGTCTCTGAGAAGAAGAGGAAATGCCTGAGTGACACTCAGCTGTCCTCTGGGGTCCCCTGGTGTGCACACACGTCCTTCTGAATACTGCACCTCAAGAGGTGCTCTCCCATTGTCATAACTTGACATTCTAAGACAGGATCTTCGAGCTTTTTAGGCTTGGCTATGGAAACATAGCATACAATCTTTGTGCGTCTGGAAGTGACACCACTGTGTGAGTTATGGACACAGAGAGCTTCCATCTTCCTGATCACAACAGACCACGACTGCAAAGCCCCCTCTCCCAGAGACCCCTTCTGCACCTGCCCTCCCCCCTCTCCCTCCAGCTGTGGAAGCTCAGATGTGTACAAGTCAATTCCTGCACAGGGCTGGGGTATCTCATCTGGCCTAAATTTAAAGGCTCGTGCCGGAGACAGTGATTGAAAACATCTGAAAAGCCAGCTCTCCCCGGCAGAGAAAGACATTTCCCCCAAAGCAGAATCTAGATGTCTTTCCCCAGTCCATCAAGAAGTCATTTTTGTAACAGTCCCTAAGCGAGTGTTCTCAATTAGAAGAGTTTAGTGGCTGTTGGTGTTGTTAAAATAATAATAATCCTAGCATCCAAAGGCTTCTGATTTTTTTCAGGGAGATTTGGACATTGATGGATAGAAACTTCCATTGCGGTGGCCACTCCCAAAGGCAGCGGCTCCGTTCTCCCGCTGCTCTAACTCTGTGCGTTCCGTCCACCATGTCAGCGCTGCAGGATCCAGATCGAACCACTGTTGTTGTTTTCTAAAAAGAAATAAATCCCTTAATGGAAATAGCATGGCATCCCTCTCCTGCTGCTGAGCTCTTGTTCTGTTTCTTCTGCATACGACAGCTGTCCCCAAGATGCCCGTGGCCTTTGGGTTAACCCTTTCCTAAGGTTGACAATGAAACCCACCCAAACCCAGCCCCCACACTGACCATGCTTTGAACTCCCCACAGATGGCCCAACTCCAGTGGGCAGGGTCCAAGAAAACCTGAAGTCTTACCAGGCCATCAGCTTCAGATCTCAAACCCTGCAGATGATTCTAGAAGTGCTCCAGCCACTTGGCACCAAGGAGGAACTGGGTGACAAGGGCTTGAGTCGGTGCCAGCACCATGACACCAAACTGGGCATCTGCAGGCCCTACCTGCCCGGTCTTATACAGAAGAGGTGGGCTCTGCAGAGGGTCTGGGGTTGGAATGTGGGGTAGCCAGCGAGGCATAGTGGCCCTTGCACCTCAGAATGGGGATTCCCGATCTGGGACCCAGGACCTCTTCTGTCTCCCTCCACCTGCTTGCCTTAGCTCTTAGAATGAGCAG